TGGTTTGATTATTAAAAATAATAAAATTGTACAATAATTTATAAAACTTCCACAACAATATAGTTCTAGTAAATAATACATATTTCTTACAGGCAACTGTCATTTCAAATTCCCCGCCGGGAAAGTGTTAACTTCTCGCACACTTCTCTGGTTCACTTTGACGCGAGTGCAACGCCCCGAAAGTCGCATTCCTGCGAACAAACAACAGGAAGACACTTCGAAAAATCTCAGACAAAAGGGATACTCTTGCCTACGTATTGTCATTCGCGTCCCTGCCCCTTCTCTCTCGTCAACCCTCTGTTGCTCGCACGGATCGCGCCTCTTCTTCGACTTCTCCGCCCCGGCGAACACGGGAAAGTGAAATATCCCCGTGTAAGACACGATCGTCTTTGTAAACGGGTTGGAGGGCCGGTTGGAGGAACGCGTCCGAGCGAGAGGAGGCGAGTAAGAAACGCGCGAACGGAGAGGCGCCGAACGGAGAAAGACGTCGTGGGTAGAGCCGGTGGCAGGGGAGGGTTGAGGGGGGGGGGAGGCGAGAGGCAACCTCGAGGAGAGGAGTGGAGAACTGTGAAGCGAGGAGGGCGAAGGGAGAAGGGATCGTGGGCGCAGATAAATCGGCTTTGCCGCCGTAAGAGGCAGCTCGCGTGAACGTGTCTCCATTAAGGCAGCCAGAACTCTCGCTGACGTAGACGAGAGGGTTCCGCTCTTGCGGTCTTCCTCCTCCGTCTTTATTCCCTTTCTTTCTTCTTTTCTCCACGGCGCGCCGTGGTTCCCCGAGCCTTCGTTCGACCTGCTCTCGCTGTCGCGCGCGCCACGGGCACCACTAACGACAACCGGCCTCCCGAAACAAAAGAACGAACGAACGAAGGGGCTGACAAGTTGGAAACTTTCGTCCTGCCTGGCTGATGAGGTTGAAACGTCGCGGCGAAATAAAACGAGTAAGAGTTTTCGATCGTGAGCCGGGATTTATAGGGAGGTCGCATGGTCTCTTGGGGCATTGATATCATCGAATTGATGAACGCGTGTGTTAATTTTGTTAATTTAATGATTGCGATGATTTTTTTCTTGTTTCGTAGAAAGAATTTTATCTCGTAAATTATATCACATCGGGTAAATTAGATTATCTATTTTTCAGACATCATCATTGGAAACTGTTTAACTGAATTCGAATCTGTTCAGGACTCTGGTCAATTTTGAGCAATTTTCAAACATACAGTCGTACAAATTTGCGCTAGCTTTGTGCATCAACAGAGAAAGTAACAAGTTCCTGGTGTTCTATCGCGAGCTATACACACTCGGACATCGCACGAGACCGCGACGATTAATTTCCAAACGCGAGAACAATGCGATCGAAGTCGGAAGATCGCTTGAACGTAATGGGGCAGAGAAACGGGACAAGGAAGAGGGACAGAGGGAGGGAGAAAGAAAGAAAGAAAAAAAGAAAGAAAAAAAAAAGAAGTGAGATATCTCGCGGCTGTTGGAAGAGTGGCCAAGACTAGAACGTAAAGAAGGCTTCCGGCTGGAGATAAGACCTCACGATATATCGAATCGAAATCGAATCGTAGATCACGAGGGATTCTCCGTCCGGCTACGTCTAGGGCTGGTGGACGACATTCCTCCAACTTTCGAGGCCACGGCGTTGACCCTCTCGTAACGGTCGAAAACTATATAGCTCGGGAGAATGGAGCGCGAAGAGAAATTGGAAAGGAGCGCGAAAGTACTTGCCGCCTCCCCCTCTCCCCGGCCATTGAATTAGAACCTCTCTCACAGTTTCTAACATCGTGCGAGTTTTTATTGTTAGTAAAACTCGTGGCAACTGAGTGCAGTTTGACGATAAATTTTATTAATCGCTTAAGGATACAAGCAATCGAACGTATAAATAATTAAACAGTTCTATCGAAATGTCACTTTTAGTAGTATCGCATATTAATTTTGTTTGTTAATTAATAAATGATAGTGGTTTTTTTATATTATAGCGGGTAAATTAGATTATATATTTTTAAAACAATATCATTAGAAGATTAAATTGAAGAATACAAATCTATTGGACTCTGATCGACTTTCAGCAATTTTCAAAATCATTGTAGACTCCTTGATGCTTAATATTTCTGTTGCATTTTGACAGATTTTTACCATCGACAAATGTTTCTTTACCGTCAATTGTTTTTTGCATTTCCAAGTTTCATTTTTAATAAATAGCTGACGTTCCATCAAATCTGCATGAGTCACTTCAGTATGATTCGAAAATACGTACTTTGGTCTATTCTAAAATTTCAACAGTGAATAGATATACTTAATTCTTTCAAGTGAACATTCAGTTCTTGTTTAATGTTTCATTTATATCAAATTGGAAAATGAAAATAAATTTTTTCTTTGCTCCATTGGAAACATAGAAATATAAAAATTTTAAGAAATAATAATCGTAAAAGATGAAAATTGTATCAGCGATGCATATATGAAAAATATAAATATAATTATAAGAATTGTAGATAGTAATTGTAAAATATAAAAATTGTATCAACACATGATGTAATTTTTATATAGGACTGGCAGCGGTGTGAAAGATTAAACCCATTTAAGGGTTATGGGGTTGTTCTACAGAGTTTTTAACTATCTAATTATTATATTTATTTACTCTCCATCTAACAATTAACTTCATTTAATTGAATTGTATTTATTTTATATTGCAATAATTTAAAATTATTCAAATATCTATACACATGTAATGTACATACACATTGTATAAACATTTGTGTAAATATTAAACACATATATGTACAGTTTTCTCCTTTTATCTATTTTTTCGGCTCCATATATGCATACTACTTTATGACGTGTGTCTTTTCTTTTATTCACAATAACATACTTTCAGAGATCTAAACAGATCATTTTTCAATTGATCATCGTTCAATGTTCCATCATTCATTGCGCGTGATAATTCTGTTTCTATCCCGCTACAAACGCTCAGCAGTAACAAATCATAAACAATGATACAACATTAATATATTTCTGTACATGTAATATCAAATTAATAAAATTTGCAGTTAAATTTCGTACAATCCTTTTAGAAATATTGAAAACATATAAAAACGTAAGAAATCGTGATTCTAATTCAATGGCCAGGCGAATTCTGTTGAGCGCGTTCTGCTCGCGAGATACGCAAGTACGAGCCATGAGGGGCAAAAGAGGTCAAAGAAGAGAAGGGGGTGGTGGTTGAGAAAAAGAAGAGGAAGAAGAAGAAGAAGAAGAAGGAGAAGAAGGGAGTGACGAATGCGGTAAACCGTAGAACCGGAACGGCGGAGTTTGCCCAGGAGGCAATGAAGCACGTCAAGGGGATGATGGACGTCTCCGCATAAACCTGACGAGTGACTCGTGGCGCCTTCAGGAACGACTCTGAGGAGCCCCCTACATCACTTTTATTACGGCCGTCCTCATTTTCATATCTCGTAAAACCTCCGGGGCTCGGCGCTCTTCTCGTCCGCGGACGTGCTTGATATACGTATAATCCACGATCCGACTCGCGTGGCGAAATTATCAGTCTACCCCCGCCTTGTTCCACCCTTCCGGCCCGGCCGGGGCGACGATCTCTCGCCTCTTTCCTTGGCTGGACCGGGGCATGCGTGAATGGATTATGTGGACGATGACAGACGAAGTGTTTGATCCCGACTTGAGTTATTTCATTTACTATAATTATTAGATAGGTGGATCGAGACTAGACTGATTCTCGTCGGGAACTCACTGATGGGCATTCGAATTTCAGTTTTCAGAAATGATTCATGTTAACATTCCAATCACTTCAAAGGGTTTGTAATGTCTCGATGAATAAATTTTGATTGATAAAGTCTTGATTAATATTGGATACCTGAATTAGTCTTGAGTCTTGATTCTTGAAAGCCTTGATTAGTCTTGTTTCTTGGATGTTGAAAGTCTTGGTTAATATTGGATCTGGTATCTTGAAAGCGTTGGTTAGTCTTGATTCTTGAATGTTGAAACTCGTGGTTAATATTGGATTTTCTATCTTGAAAGCCTTGGCTAATCTTGAGCCTTGGGTCTTGAAAGTCTTGATTAATATTGGATCTTGAAACTCTTGAATCTAATCTTGTATCTCGGATCTCGAAAGTCTTGGGAGTAATTCTGAGTCTTGAAAATCGTAATTAATTTGAATAATCACGATGAGTTTTAAAAGTCTTGAATTATGAAACTATTGGCTAGACTTGAGTTTTGTAATCCTTGACTGACTTTAATTCTTGATTACTCTTGAATGACAGTCTTGAAATCCTTCAAACTCTTGGAAAATCTTAGAAGTCTTGCAACTCTTGAAAATCTTGGATCCTCTGAAAGCTTCTACGTATTTTAAATATTTTAATATACACTGCATGAAATTCCAATAGAAATAACTTAATAATAATATAATATCAATTTGATAATACAAATCGTCACAAAAATAATATAATAATAATTTAATATTAATTTAACAATAAAAATCATTATAAAAAGTTCTACCCTTAGAAAAATCTATCCTAAAAATAATCGCGCGAGTAGACATGTTTCCATTCGACTTTGTCTTCGACTTTCTACGCACTGATCTGCTTCGAAACAAAACAAAAAAATCGAGTCTCATTTCCACACAGTTCGTGCAATTTCGTCGGACGGTATTGCACATCCACGAGACGATCCTGTTCGCTCGAACGTTAAACGGTTGGCGTTTCAGTGATCTTCTCAAACCCGATTACTCCTCGATTCGATGGAAAAGATCAGTGCGAGAACACGCGATCGCGTTCATCTGTCGACGGACGGTTTCGCGAGAATCGCTGGCGCGTTCCGCAACGAGAAGGGCCGGGTATGGTGGCTGTGAGTTCGAAAAGAGGATGAGGAGTAGATGGAGGTTGAATGTTTCTTCTAGGAGCCCGCCGCGCGATTTATGGAGCGAAGTGACGGGAGGTGTTTATTGTGCAGCATCTGTTACGTTACTCTGGCTCTGCAGTCTCGCTCCATCCACCCTCCTTCACCCTCTACTCTCGTTTCATCTCTCTCTCTCTCTCTCTTTCTCTGTTTTATTCCTCCTCCTTCGTTCTAACCTTTCTCTCTCTCTCTCTTTCGAATGTGTGTGTTCTCATTTCATCTTTCCACGAATCTCTTCGCCATCTCTTTTCCCCGTGCCACTCGTTCGTTCGTTCGTTCGTTCGTTCGTTGGTTGCACGAGCCTCGCAGGTTCGCGCCAGCCCGCCATCATACATACAACAGACGCCCTCGATTTATAGTTTTGAATTAGATGGAAGTAAAGGAAAGGTCGCTGGTTGCTGTAGCGTAAATTTCAGACCCTTGAAATATCTCGTTTCTTCTCGCTCCCTCTCTGTCCGTCTCTCTATCCTTTGCTCTTTCGCGTTAATTTATCGTTCTCCAACCGGCAACGAGAAACAGTAAGAGAGAAAGAAAGGGACAGAAGCAGAGAGAGATAGATGGTGAAAGTACGCGAAAAACGGATGACCAAATGGATAGAGGAAAGTTTACCACTGGCGACTCTCAGGATTTCCGTGGACGTGAGTTAACCGGACGAAATCGAAAGGACGACGGGCAGGGACGCAAGTTTCAGGGACGAAGGGTGATAGAAAGGGGACAGGCCGAAGCCCTGCCACCGGAGAGAGACACGTCACTCACTCTCTCCTCGTGTCACTTACACAAACAGACGTACATCACGGGCAAACCGGCAGGCGGGCAAGCAAGCAAGCAAGCAAGCAAGCAGGCAAGCAAGCAAGCAGGCAAGCAAGCAAGCAAGCAGGCAGGCATGCAGCTAGCTACGTGTTCCCTTTTATGTTCCCACACGCGCGCTCGCATAAACCTGTCAGTCTCGTGTCACGTGCAGCGCAGTCATTCACTGTCGCCGGCAGCGTACCGGCACTCACGACACAGTCCTGTTGCCGGTGACTGAGAGAAACCTCCTCCTCCTCCTCCTCCTCCTTCCTCCCCCCCTTTGCTCTTACCGTGCACGGGACGTACCGAATAAGAGCGTGGAAAAGACGGACAGACGCGTTTGGACGCGATGGGCTCCAAGTTTTCGACGGCGACAGTGGCCGAGAATAGAATAGAACGCGCGGAGAAGCGACTCGTACCGTAACGATCTCGAATGGAATACGTTCAAATACCAGGGATGGGATCAAGTCGTATACGCACTTGGAAATCCAAGTTTCCTTTCACTCTGAATAAGTTCCGGTATTTAGATCGCAATGTTTAATTCGTTTCGAACCTTCGAATAAATATCAGTGTTGAATGCGTGCTCGGAGAATTCAGTACTCGAGCCTCGAGAAACTAGAATCTCACCGATTCTTAAGAATCTCGAACAAGTTCAAGACGAAGACACGCGTCTGACTGACACACCTCCACTTACAGGTCGTGCCGCCGAGGAGAGCGATCGTGGATCGGGGCCGGCAGGAGATGAGCCCCGGTCGCAGAAATGGCATCACGTGCAATGTTTCGCGCGATTATTTAGACGAGCGAGCACGTCGCGCGACGCGAAGGAGGAGGCATCACGCTCCGGCGAAAGGCCGGAGTGTCCGAAGGGGGCGGCAGACACAAGGTGTGGGGTGGGTGGCACACGGTGGACGAGGGCACCGAGAAGTGGAAGGAGGAGGCGGATAGGAGACGGAGGTTAGGGGCAAACCGTGGCCGCGCGCGGCCGTATTGATCTTATCCCCCGACATGAGAAATGCCCGCCGGTTTAATAAACTCCCGGGACTTATGAAGCACGTCAGGGTGATTCACGGCCGCCTCATTGAGTCGTATTTATACAACCGCGACTGATAGATTTATGGAGGACAGCGCAGCGTGGTCCCTCCTGCCCCCTGCCATCCTGCCCCACTACCCACTCGCCATCTCTCCCTCCCCCCCCCCCTCGAGAGAGCCGTCTATGTAACAGTCTGTCCATCGGCACCATCGCTTCCTCCGCGACCTGCCTCCTCCACCATCACCGTCACTCGCCGTTCCTCCTGTCTTGTTCCACTTTTTCTTCTTCTTCTTCTTCTTCTTCTTCTTCTTCTTCTTCTTCATGGTCGTTGATTTTTTTCTTTGGCTGTGGTCGACACCGGGCAAGATGCAATGGTACTTTTAAAAGGCGATTCGTGTTAGACAAATGCGTTAGGTTTGGTTGACAGTCAAGAATCTTACATCGTGTATCCATGTACAGTATTTTGCCATGAAATAATAGTGTGCACGAGTATGAACAAAAGTATGTACAAAATTTCATATTTGTTTTATATATTTATGTTTTTATTAGAATAAGTAGCACTTAATTGCTTGAACAGCAATTGCTATTCTCATCCCTTCGTCAATACACAAGGCTGCAACACCATCAATCCTTTTTGATGAATGTAATATAGTTAGTATAATATTCTACCAGATGCACCAATGGGGTGGCCTGAAGCGATAATTCCACCCTATTGGTTTGTGTTAACTATGCGAAGATCTGAACCAACAGTTTTTACACAAGCCATTGCCTGCAAATGCTTCGTTCAGTTCGTATAAATCTACTTGTTTTGTCCAGTTTGCTTCTTGCGACACTAATTCAATTGCTGTTCAGCAAGTCCTGTGGCCATAATTTTTGGTCCTGCTCCACTGTGCATCCCTCGACCGATGTTTTATTCGAGAGATATTGCGAAATAAGATTGGTGTAATTTGAAAAATCGTATTCATTTACTGTGAATTGTAAAATGCGGTATCGTTGTGCAACGTTCTAGGTCTGAATAGTGAAGGTATAGTATATGTTTGATTGGCAGTTTATGTTATAAAGGCGAGAGGATGTTTGTTTGCTGTAGCTCTGTGTTTTTTATACTTACTTTTTACTAAATTTGTGTGAAGAAATTAAATTAAATTAAAAGATGATCAGAATTCTATAAGCTTCATTTCTAAATAAATTTTGCTTTTTGCTTCATTTCTCTTCAACAGTTCTCAAATCCTGGCCACGCCGATACGGCAAAACTTCGGATCGTCTAATGTCGCCGTGACTTTAGAATCTCGACCATGTTAAAATACAATAGTCTTCGTTAAGTGTGCCTATAGTTGTGTTTCCATTAAATCGACTCATCGATACATTAAACCTATCTACAAAAATCTACAGAAAGCTGTTTGTGCTTTTATCATATACGTGAATAGATGAACAGCTTATGGAGGATGTCGACAAGCAGTATAGAAGCGGAACGAAGGAAGGAAGGAAGGAAGGAAGGAAGGAAGGAAGGAAGGAAGGAAGGAAGGAAAGAGCCCCAGGACAGGAGCAGAAGTACGAAGAAGCGGAAGGAGACAGAGAGAAGGGGGCGGTTGGCCGTTGGACGAAGGCATGGTGGACCATCCATGGATGTCAGGA